CTCGTTCGATCGTTCTCACTCACACTCACATCCGATGCCGTTCGATCACATTTACTCACACTAAACGTTTTGTTGTTCACCTGTTGCTGATTTTTACTGTTAAGTTTTTTAAAGTAGTTGTTTAATAAAAAGATATTAAAATAAGAATGATTTCCTTTTTTACACAGTTTTGTATATATTTCCTGCTGGGATACCACATCCTTCACGAGAATTTTTCATAAGGGTATCTATTTTTATGCCGTACGTTTGATGGGGGACTATGAACTATTATATAAATGCGATGGGTGAGGCTTCTTCGTCGTACTGTTTTATTGTTTTCAGTAACGTTTGTGTTAGTGAGAGTGTATAATGAGCAATATACAGAATCTATTACACATTACATATGAGTTTCCAGTTGATGGAGTAAGTGTGTTTATCTTTTGTGTATATTTTTTTTAGTTTTTATTGTAAATGTAGTTTATATTACTGTTCTTATTCCAGTATATCATCGTTGACAACGAACGAGTATGTGAGTTGCAATTAGCTAATGAGGTGAAGATTCTGAAGATTTCATTCGTAAGTTTAATAAAACATATAAAATTTTACAATATAATGTATAAAGTATAGAGTATAAATAATATGTGTCTAATTCACTTTTATGTTTCAGGCTACACATCCCGGGAATTTACGTATACGTGGATTTATGAATATTTTTAACAGACAGATAATACGTGCGGATCGACGAGCTGAGCGAGAGTATAGATTGGAATATATGGATATTTGGGATGATGGGGATTTATTCCTTAAAGAATTATTTGGTATCCGATCATATGAAAATACTATTGCAGAGGACATGTGGGAATGTAAGTTGAAAATATTTGATTTATTAAATATAATTTTGTAAAAAAAATATATTTATCATCTTACAGAAAGCTTCAGACGTCACATTACACATGTATTGTAGCATGCTCACACACATCGTTAGTGTCATACTACACATTGTGGTATAGTAGCATGTTTACACTCCACCATATATGTATAAATAAATGAAAAGTAAAAATTTATATTATAATATGTATCACACACTATAATATTGTAGCGTGTTCATACACACTCTACTATATGTATAAAAATAAATTAATAAAAATTATTAATATTATAATAATATGTGTCGTTAGTGTTACCTTAATTAATCGTACAGTATCCAGAGTCATCTGACATGTACTCCATATCATCGATGTTCCCAATATTTTCGAATGCTTCTTCAAATTCAACAAAAAACTCATCAACGATACGGAGTAGATGTTCTTCGGGTATATTCCGCACAATATTCACTATGTTTTCCATTATTGTGTACACTGCACACTGTATACTGCACAAGTTTCAAAATTAGATTAACTGTCCGTGACAGCGCGAGTGACAATATATTATACGATCAAGCAGCATTTTTTTCATTTTTTTTTTCCTTGAAAGATTATAGACCATTTCCTTTTCCTTTAAACTATATACGAATATAAGAAAATGTAGTGTATAAAGGTAGAGTGAATAAATAAAAGTGTTTTATAATTAATAGAACAGTATTTATTATCGAATGGTGTACATAATAATAGTATTTATTATCGAATGGTGTACATAATTAATGCTCTCCGAAAACCAGAGCGATCAA